AGGAAGGGAGGGAGGGAGGAAGTGAGGGAGGAAGGAGGGAAGGAAGGCACGGAGGGATGAAGGGAGGAAGGAAGGAAGGAAGGAAGGGAGGGAAGGAGGAGGGAAGGAAGGGAGGGATGGAGGAAGGGAGCAAGGGTGGGAGGTAGGAAGGGAGGGAGGGAGGGCGGGAGAGAGAGAGGGTGAAACGGAGGGAGGAAGGAAGGAAGGAAGGAAATGAGGGAGGGAGGAAGCAGGGAAGGAAGGGAGGGAGGAAGGGAGGGAGGGAGGAAGAGAGGGAGGAAGGTAGGGAGGAAGGAAGGAAGGGAGGGAGGGAGGAAGGGACAGAGGGAGGAAGGGGGGAAGGAAGGGAGGAAGGAGGGAAGGCAGGGAGGGAGGGAGGAAGCAGGGAAGGAAGGGAGGGAGGGAGGAAGGAAGGGAGGGAGGGAGGAAGGGAGGGAGGAAGAAAGGGAGGGAGGAAGTATGTCTTCTCATACTTTGATGTAGTGATTTCAGAACATATAAAATTCTAGCAATAAAGTGTTGGATGTCTAAAAGTTCCCCAAAGTGTTAGGAATCAATACAAATACAATAGGCTGTTTTCTAAGTAGACTGAAGAGTAATCTGGCTTTACTCTTTAAAAGGGAAGGAGAAAAATAATTTTTATGTCCCAGAACCAAAGATAACTTAAAAAATTATGGCAAACCAATGCATCCCATGTAACTGTTAAATATTATGTTGTCAAATATTTCACATCATGGGAAAATGTTAATGATACAGTGTCAAGTGAAAAAGCTGGTTTCTAAACAGAAAGTAAAATAGAATTCCCCTGAGTAAAAACGTTTATACACATGTACACATAGAAAATATGCAGACAAGAAAAACAGTCAAAGTGTATACGCCAAAATGTTAATAGTGTCTATGACTCGGTGTTTATACTATGAATAGCTTAATTTTATTATCTTTGTCCATATTTTCTAAGTTTTCTATAAGTTGTTAGATTTATAAGAAAAAAGCAATTAACATTTTTGTGTGTATTACTTTAAGGTACAAGGAGCTCATAGCAGTGGTTTTCTAGCCCTCAATATGCATTTATTTAAGTTGTCTTAGGTTAAGAAAATATGTATGACCTGTTTATAGAAAGATGATTTATTACTTAGGAATGGCTTACACACTTCTCACTGAAATACATAATTTGATGCCTTTTGTTTACAATGAAAGGAATTGATAAAAATCTATGAGACTACATACTTGTTTTTTTTTTTTGTAGTTAAAACTATTGCAGTCATCTAAGAAAATTTTGGATGTTCCAGGTCCCTGTACCTAAGTGCCTAATTATAGAGATAACAGGACTGAAATTCAGGAATGAAATTTTGATTAAATTCTGATATACCTTTTACTACAACACACACACACACACACACACACACACACACACACACACATACACACACACACACACCATAAATTATACTGAATTTCTTGGCCTTGAGTACTTACCATCTTCTCTAATAAAAAGATATTCTTTTCAAACAAATAGAGAGGTGTAAAGGTAGCATATACAACTACCTGAGGGGACTGTATTGCTGAAGAACCTGTAAAACCAAACACGTACTGCGTCATGGAAATTCTAGACAAAATGGAACTGGCAGGTCTTAGTAGACTGTTCAAATTCCTTAATGAACTTATCTTTGCTGATGAAATATAGGTAAATAACTCTGCATGCATATAATAAATGTTAAATCTCAAATGTACATCTATTTTATAGAATGTCTTATCAGTTTTACCTTCACAATAGTACCATATAATTCATTAAGAAATCATTTTACTTCATTGTAAAACACTTATTACATAAACTCACTCTAGCTATCTGTCAATGTAACTTAGCTTTCATAGAATCTTTATTTTGAATTTAAGGAATTCTGAGAGTTTCTGTGTCATTTCAAGTAGAAAGAAAACATAAATAAATTAATCCTCCCATGAAGAATGGAAACTAAGAAGGTAACTTAGTTTGGAATGTCTAATGCCTGTAGATTTGCTCCTGAACATCAATATTTATTCATGTGTTCCTTAATACCCCTGAAATTACCCCATTTGATTCATGATGCTTTTGTTCTTTAAAGATTCTGGCCAAAATAATAGAATTTATTTTCCTCTATTGTTTTTATTTTTAATTAAAAGGTTTTGATTTATTCCTTTAAAATTCACACACTTAACAAAAGCAGAAACATAGATCAATGGAACAGGATAGAAAGCCCAGAGATAAACCCACGCACATATGGTCACCTTATCTTTGACAAAGGAGGCAAGAATATACAGTGGAGAAAAGACAGCCTCTTCAATAAGTGGTGCTGGGAAAACTGGACAGGTACATGTAAAAGTATGAAATTAGAACACTCCCTAACACCATACACAAAAATAAGCTCAAAATGGATTAAAGACCTAAATATAAGGGCAGACACTATCAAACTCTCAGAGGAAAACATAGGCAGAACACTCTATGACATAAATCACAGCAAGAACCTTTTTGACCCACCTCCCAGAGAAATGGAAATAAAAACAAAAATAAACAAATGGGACCTAATGAAACTTCAAAGCTTTTGCACAGCAAAGGAAACCATAAACAAGACCAAAAGACAACCCTCAGAATGGGAGAAGATATTTGCAAATGAAGCAACTGACAAAGGATTAATCTCCAAAATTTACAAGCAGCTCATGCAGCTCAATATGAAAAAAACAAACAACCCAATCCAAAAATGGGCAGAAGACCTCAATAGACATTTCTTCAAAGAAGATATACAGATTGCCAACAAACACATGAAAGAATGCTCAACATCATTAATCAGTAGAGAAATGCAAATCAAAACTACAATGAGATATCATCTCACACTGGTCAGAATGGCCATCATCAAAAAATCTACAAACAATAAATGCTGGAGAGGGTGTGGAGAAAAGGGAACCCTCTTGCACTGTTAATGGGAATGTAAATTGATACAGCCACTGTGGAGAACAGTATGGAGTTTCCTTAAAAAACTAAAAATAGAACTACCATATGACCCAGCAATCCCACTACTGGGCATATACCCTGAGAAAACCATAATTCAAAAAGAGTCATGTACCAATATGTTCATAGCAGCTCTATTTACAATAGCCAGGACATGGAAGCAACCTAAGTGTCCATCGACAGATGAATGGATAAAGAAGATGTGGCACATATATACAATGGAATATTACTCAGCCATAAAAAGAAATAAAATTGAGTTATTTGTAATGAGGTGGATGGACCTAGAGTCTGTCATACAGAGTGAAGTAAGTCAGAAAGAGAAAGACAAATACCGTTTGCTAACACATATATATGGAATCTAAGGAAAAAAAAAATAAAGGTCATGAAGAACCTAGGGGCAAGACGGGAATAAAGACACAGACCTACTAGAGAATGGACTTGAGGACACGGGGAGGGGGAAGGGTAAGCTGTGACAAAGTGAGAGAGTGGCATGGACATATATACACTACCAAACGTAAAATAGATAGCTAGTGGGAAGCAGCCACATAGCACAGGGAGGTCGGCTCGGTGCTTTGTGACCACCTAGAGGGGTGGGATAGGGAGGGTGGGAGGGAGGGAGACGCAAGAGGGAAGAGATATGGGAACATATGTATATGTATACCTGATTCACTTTGTTATAAAGCAGAAACTAACACACCATTGTAAAGCAATTATACTCCAATAAAGATGTTAAAAAAAAATTCACGCACTTACATTTCACTGCACTAGATAATATGTTTATTGAAGAATAATATCTTTAGAACCGCAATATATAAATTAGATGTTAACCCTGGATCACTCTAAAATGGATTAAGATGTGAACTATGCCCAACTTGTAAAAATATGTTTTTACATTTAAAAAGTAAATTTTGTATATGTAGGGAGCAAAATCTGTCACCTTAAAATGTATCTCTCTGTCATGAGGATTATTTTGGGCTTTTTTTTTTTTTTTTTTAAGAACAGAGTACTCAGGAATTCTTTCTTTTTACCTCCCCCTTAACTGCCTAAAAGAATTCAGATAAAGGGCCTGGTCCAGGAAGAGCACTACCACCAGAGACACCTACAAAGAATATGGGCTAAGTGTGGTAGGGCAGGGCCTAGAGACAAGAGTCCTCTCTGTGTCCCACTGCCTCTGCATGGTAGAGCCAACATGTGTTTACCAAACATTTGCTTTTCAATCTCCAGGTGAATTGCCTTCCTCCCTTTTGAAGTCACAAACCCCCGACCCCCTTTTCTTTCTCTCAGATGGTAGATAAGCCTCAATTGCCTAACTTGTCCTTGGGTTTCATTTTTTTTATGAGGCCTCATACATACATAATTATTATTCTTTTTCTTCTGTTAATCTGTCTCATGTCAATTTAATTCTTACACCAGCTAGAAGAACCTGGAGAGAGTAGAGGGAAATTTTTTCCTTCTCTAACATATTTTTCATGCAGCAGAGATCTGAACCCAGGCAATTTTACTCCACAGCCCAAACTTTGAACCACATTCTGTATCTAGAGGTTGACTTAACTATGAGTTTGGTAGAAAAAGAGGCATTGTTACCATCATTTTCACAAAGAAAGAAACTCAAAGAAAGGTTTAGCCATTCTCACAAACATGAATAATTATCAGTAACTTTGGGACTGTTATGTCATCCAGTATCAACAAAGATTTCTTAAGGCATCACTATAAGAAAACAAGTTTTTGTATAAAATTAAAAATATAATGACTAGTGTTTGTATTTTCTCTACCAAACCACCAGACATGTTTCTGTAAAAATACAAAGCCAGAACTATGAAAATGCTCTCACGAAAAAACACAGTAATGTATTAAGAAAGAAGACAAAACAAAAAAAGAAAAACAACTAGATAAAGCATAGTGCTGGAGGTAAATGGACATGTTTTCATGTAAAGAAGGATGAACTGAGAATTATGATATACACTCTGGAAGCACCAAGATAGATGACCCAATGTTAGGACTATAAAGTTTAAAATATATATTTTATATATCAACATATATATAAAATTTACACAGAGGAGGACATATATTAATACATATTAATATATATATATTTATATAAATATATTTATATATTATAATAAAAATATGTGTACTAACATATAATATATATTTTTATTAGTATTATATGTCCTCCTTCATGTAAACACTTCTGTGACTGTTGTACCATAAGAACTTGGATAACATTGTTTCATATGTAGGATCTTGCTCTGTTATGCATAACCATCCTGAGGGCCTAACAATTATGGGCAACCTTGAAAAGCTTATTTAGACATGTCTAAACAGGAAATACATTTCTATGCTCCAGTGTTTTCCAGCATTTTAGGAAATAAGTGCAATAATTATTATTCTAGGAGACTGAGAACTTACAATCTGACAGAGACTGTAGAGAATATTGTACGTCTGATGAGGGCCTTGAACCATGAAGAGACCATTTGGATTTTTCCTTTTCTTTTTCCTTCTCTCCATCTTTACTCCTCTTCTTTCCAAGGTCTTTTGCATCGGCTTTCTCCAACATATTAAAAAAATGTAATAAATCTTTTAACTACAAAACCTCAGTGTATGTCGCTTATTAAGTCATTGTGTTGAAAAGAAAGTTAAATAGTAGTAGTATTTAACTTATTTAAATGTAAAACAATAGCCATAAATTTCCCCAAGTATTACTCACCTCAAATTAGTAACATCAAAATAAAGCAAAACTTTGAAAATTGACATGTATTGTGAAAGACATGCAGCATTATTTATTATTGACTACACATAATTTTATGTTAAATGTAGATGATCAGTTGAATATAATTTATTCATATAAAATCATGGTGTCAGGCTGATTTTCTCATTTAAAAAAGAAAAAAGAAAAACCAGCAAAGAAAGTGCTTAAAGTTGAGTCCTAAATGTGGAGCCCTCTTAGATCTTCTTTACTTGGGGCTTGCATTTCAAGAAACACAGCTTTCTGCCTCCAGAATATCTTCTGGTGGAAACTGGCTACGAACCAACATCCACAAACCAACATCTGATTGTCCACATGTTGTGTGTAGTAAAACCCAGTACCCAGAACCGTCCATCATTTGAATTTCCATTCACATTTACATTTCTATGAAACATGTTCTCCTTCAACTTACCCCTAAGCTTTTTTATTTCCTAATAAATCCCTTCCAATTCTAAAACAGAAATTTCAAATTTCTGCCATTCATTCTTTCATCATTTGCTAAACTTGTAATCACCATTGATCAGGTTGTTTGTTTTTTTTAAAATTTGCATAAATGAAAACTATAACATTAACAACTTGTACTGCTCCTTAGCTTCTAAAGTAAATCTATCTCATAGCTTTTATAGTAGATTTAACATCTATGTTAGATACAAAGGCAAAGATAACTATAACTTTAAGTGTAGGATGAGATATTTTATTGGGAAACAAGTACAAAAAACATCAGAATTTTATTTTGTGGCTTTTCTATAAATATTTGCCTTAAAACTAATTATAGGTAATAATATATGACTTCATGTATGATTTTAAAATGGGGTTTTAAAAGGCTTTAAATGCCTATTCAGAATTTAAAAAATACAATATATATATATAATAAAAATTATAAATAGAAAAACACACTTTTCACATAGAAATTTGGAAAGTATGCAAAAATGTTTACCAAAATGTGTTTTTGCCAATACCATGAGTAAATCTGTTGCTCCTCTGTCACGTCATTTCACCCATCTGGCCAACCCCTCTGAATAAAAGTAGCAGCTGAGTCCTACTGGACATGGCCTTCCTCTAGTTCTGCAAGCTTCTGCCACATCTATTTTAAATAACAACGAGAACCTTCATCTCCACCTCCACTTCACTCTTAGCTTGTAGAGAATAGAAGCCTTTTGTCAGAAACCCTCAGCTTCTCCCTATCAAACCCATTCATCCACAATGTGCATCTGTCCTCTCCCATGCCCTGTGCCCACCCATTAGGATGGAGGAGACTTTGCTCCCTGGTTTGGTCCAATCCCTTCACCTGGGCTCTCTGGAAACTTACACTATGGCTGTCATCTCAACTGCATTTTCCCAATCACTTAAAAATACTTCATCAGGTAAAAATTTAAATATCTTTCACAGGTCCCCTACATTCCCTGTCAGCTTCCACACTGTCGCTCTCCTGTTCTTCACAGACAAACTCCTAACAGGGGTGTTTATAAATTATCTTACTTCCCACTTATTTCTTAACCTCTCCAACGTGTCTTCCACTCCCATCACTTACCAGTGCCCAGTGACCTCCATATCACAAAATCCAGCAGAGAAACTTGAATTCTCCTCATATTTCAACTCTCAACACTACTTGACACAATCTCCCTGATTCTTAAAACACTCTTTTCCTTTGACTTCAGTAGCAACATGCTCTGCTGGTCTTCTTCCTGTTTCTCTGGTCATCCTTTAACCTCTTTTGCCAGCTCATTATTTGGTACCCAGTTCTCAGATATTTAGCTTCTTTAAGGCTGAGTCTTAAGCTTCTTAGTCTTCTCACTTTACGCCATCTCCTTGGGAATATCATTCATTGTTTAATTTGGCACGCATTTGTCAATGATTCCCAAAAGTATATCACCAGCCTGGAACTCCTGACATGAAAGTACACTTGATTTCTTAAAGGCACGTCAAATTCGGTATGTTCTGAGTCATTCTGTGATCTCTCCTCATAAAGCCGTTCCTCTTTTGGCATCACCCCTCTCAATAAAAGGTACTACCATCTATCCAGTTTTGGAAGTCAGAATTTTACACATCATCTTTGCCACATTCTGCCATTTTTTACGTTTTAAATATCTCTCAATCATTTACTTTATCTGCCTCTCCACTATGACTGTCCTATTACCCTACGCCAAGCTACTATTGTCTCTGAACTGAGCTGATGCAAAGGTCTCCAAATTGTTTTTTCTGAGCTGATGCAAAGGTCTCCAAATTGTTTTTTCTATGTCCACTCATGTCACTGACTCTCCACCCCCATGTGCACACCAAGTTATTTTCTTCTCAGAGAACGAGAATATCCTTTTGAAAATGTGAAATAGATCATGACTCAACCCTAAACTCTTCATTAGCCATCAATTGCTCCTTGGTAAAGATCAATCATCTTAACATGACCTGGAGGATTTGACATGATCGTCTCCTATCTACTTCTCCAGGCTCTTCTTAAGCCACTTTATTCCACACATCCTCTCCTCCAGCTAAACATATCTTCTACCAGGTCTTCCAAATCATTGTCATTCCTGCTACTTCTTCATAATATTTATATCTGCTGTCTCCTCTACCTAGAATGCTCTTCCCTTCTCAGTCCTTAATCTTCCTCCAGATATCCCTATCATCTTTGCAAACACAGCTCAAAATTCCTTAGGGAATTCTTCTTTGATGCCCCAGACTAGGTCTTTCATATGAACTCCTAAAGTTTCCTGTATTTCCCTTCAAGACTCATGTATTGGTATGTATTTATGATTTTTAAAATTAATGTTAGTCCCACTCACTAAACCTTAGTTCTAGGAAGTGAGTTCCACACCTGATTTTGTTCATCAAGTTATCACTAATTCCTGGAACACTTACCGATATTCTCAGCAAGTAGTATATTGAATGGATTGTTAAATGGAGGGATGAATAGACAGAAGTTAACTTGTGATACATGAGAAAGGGATTCCAGGTTCAAATTAATTTAGGATACACTGGGTAAAACGAATTTAAACTGGCTTTTTTTTTTTGCTTTCTTTTATAAACTAATGCACATTAGATCATTTTAAATGGCACTGATGATAGGCAGATATCACACACACAATTTTTTTGTATATTTTTGAGGAACATTTACAGTAATTATTTCTGGGCAGTATATGGTTAGAAATGCTGGTTGATAAGATCTAGATAAGGACAAAATATCAATATCTTATAAAACATAAACATTTGCAAGATCATTGTAGATGCTATCACAGTACATGAAAAAGCTGAGTATCTTCTAGTATATTTAACTCTACTATACAAGCATTATTGTTCATATGTATGACTATATGAAATATTTTAGAAAACATAAAATAAATAATGATTAAATATATTTCCCACTTAAGAAGAAATGCTCCTACACTCTGTAAAATAACTCAAAAAATTTTTTTCCAGATTTTAACTTTCACCTTACAATAACCTGCAAATCATAATCTAATCTGTGTCTATTTCACACTTCCTGAAAAGGAAAACAGGACAACTTTTCTCCTTTGGTATTCTGGTCCTTTCCACTCTACATATAACATATAAGAAAGATGTGTTTAAGGGAAATTGAAAACTTAATGTGTTTTTCTATATTAATAAATATATTAATTGAGTATCATCAAAATATATAATTGCCTTTGATTTTTAAGGAGAGCAAAATATAGTAGAATAATTAACATATGGTAAACACCATTGCAAGTTCTAATATCTTAGAAAGGACCTTAATTACATGACTGTTTTCACAACACTTATATAAATATAATGACAATAAATAATCATTAAATTAAGCAATGACTAAACTATAAAGTGTTTATATATAATACCCATATTGAATAACATCATGATATAGAATGTCTTACCCTTTAAAACTCTGTCACTTTTCTCAGGTAATTTTAGTATTGTTGCTGAAACTTCAGGTTTGAATTCCTTGCCATCTTTCATTTCTTTGCCATCTTTCACTTCTTTCCCATCCTTCATGTCTTTTCCTTGTTCTTTTAATTTGGCATCTGTGTCTGTTATTTTGCTTTCAGAGCTGGACTCATCTGACAGCTTAAACTCGGGCAATATTTCTCTCAAGAGCTCCCAAACTTTGTCTGTATATCCTGGGCTTAGGTAAAAAACAACATTAATTTCCAAATTAAGCTTTTTATTCCACATCAAGAATTGCTGACAGAAAAAAATTAACCTGCTACTTCAAAAAACCAATTACAATAGTTTCTTCACATGTTAGTTAAAAACACCATTATGTGCTTATTTATTCAACAAGCTTTCATTGAGTGCCTCCTCTGTGGTGGGCTTTGCTGATGCAAGGAGACCAAACACAGAGTTCCAATTAAAGATGGTGATGTAGGAAGATTCTGAACTCACCTCTTCCTATGGACACAACAAATCTACAGCTACATACAGAACAATTTCCTCTGAAAATAATAAAAAAAATTAGGTGAGGAATTCCTTCATATCTGGCAAATGAGAAAAAAAAACATAGTGAAATGGCTAGGAGAGGCTGAGACACAGTCTTGCCATAAACCTCACACAGTGTGGGCACACACAGTTTGGAGGGAGCTCACATCCCTAAGCTTTTCCCTGAAGAGTGAAGGGTTTGAACCCCACATAATGGCACCCCAACTTTTAAGACCTGCAGATCAGAGACAAGCTCCCAAAACATCTAGTTTTGAAAGCCAGCAGGGCTTGCATCCATGAGGCCCACAAGGCTATAGCAAACTCAGAAAGAGTTCTTAAAGGGCTGTCACCGACTCACCCATCCCAGGACTCACCCATCGAAGAGCACCCAGTAGGAGACTTTAATATCCCACTTTCACCAATGAATAGATCATCCAGACAGAAAATCAATGAGAAAACATTGGCCTTGGGACTTCCCTGGCAGCCCAGTGGTTAATACTTTGTGCTTCCACTGCGGGGGGAGTGAGTTTGATCCCTGGTCAGGGAACTAAGATCCCACATGTCACGTGGCATGGCCAAAAAAAAAAAAAACATTGGCCTTGAATGACACATCAAATAGGATGGACTTAGAACATATAGAACATTCCACCCAATAGCAACAGAATACACATTTTTCTCAAATGTACATGGAACATTCTCCAGGACAGATCATGTGTTAAGTCACAAAACAACTCTTAATGAGTTCAAGAAGACTGAAATCATACCATGCATCTTTTCCAACCACAACTGTATGAAACTAGAAATTAATTACAAGAAGAAAACTGGGAAATTCACAGCTATGTGTAGATTAAACTGTATGCTACTGACCAACCAATGGGTCAAAGAAGAAATTTAAAAAATGCTTTGCGATAAATAAAAATGGAAGTACAACACAACAAAAATACAACAGATACAACGACAACAAATACAACAAAGCAAAGATAGTTCTAAGAAGTAGTTCTGTGAGAGTTCGTAGCAATACATGTCTACATTAAGAAATATGATCTCAAATAAACTACCTAACTTTACACCTAAAAGAAATAGAAAAAAAAGAACAAATGAAGCCTAAAGTTAGTAGAAGGAAGGTAATAACAAATATCAGAGTGGAAATAAATGAGAGAGACTAAAAAGACAGTAGAAAAGATCAAAGAAATTAAGAACTGGTTTTTTGAAAAGATAAACAAAATTGACAAACCTTTAGACTCACCAACAAAAAAAAGAGAGAATACTCAAATAAAGAAAATCAGAAATGAAACAGACACATTGTAATTAATACCACAAAATACAAAGGATCATAAGAGACTACTATAAACAAATATACAAAACAAACTGGACAACCTAAAAGAAATGGATAAATTCCTAGAAACATATGATTTACCAAGACAAAGAAATAGAAAATCTGAATGGACTGATTACTAGTAATCAAAAACTTCCCAACAATGAAAAGTCCAGAATCAGAGAGCTTCACTGGTGAATTCTACCAAACATTTAAAGAAGAATTAATACCAATACTTCTCAAATTCTTTCAAAAAATAGAAGACAGGGGAAAATGTCTAAACTCATTTAACGAGGCCAGCATTACCCTGATATCAAAATCAGACAAGGATATCACAAGAAAAGAGAACTACAGATCAAAATCCTTGATGAACATAGACACAAAAAATTCACAACAGAATGTTAGCAAACAATTCAACAATACATTAAAAGGATCATACACCATGATCAAGTGAGATTTATTCCTGGGGTGCAAGAATGATTCAACATGCATAAATCAATCAGTGTAATACATCACAGTAAAAAAAATGAAGGATAAAAATCATATGGTCATCTCAATAGATGCAGAAAACCATTTGACAAATTCAACATCCATTTATGATAAAAAATGCTCAACAAAATGGGGTTAGAGGGAACACACCTCAATATAATAAAAGACATATATGACATGCCCACAGCTAACATCATACTTAATGGTGAAAAGCTGAAAGCTTTTCTCTAAGATCAGGAACAAGATAAGGATAGCCACTCTCACCACTTTTATTCAGCACAGTATTAGAAGTCTAGCCAGAGCAATAAGGCAAGAAAAGGTAATAAAAGGCTTTTAAATCAGAAAGGAAGAAGTAAAAGAGTCATATTTACAGATGACATAATATTATATATATAGAAAACCTTAAGAAACTCCACCCAAAAGCTGTTAGAATAAACAAATTCAGTACAGTTGTAGGATACAAAATCAATATACAAAAATCTTTTGCATTCTATACACTAATAATGATCTAAAAGAGAAATTAGGAAAACAATCTCATATACAAGTGCAGCAAAAAGACCTAGGAATAAACTTAACCAAGGAGGTGAAAGACCTGTACACTGAAAACTATGATATTAATGAGAGAAATTAAAGAAGACATAAATAAATGAAAGATATACATGGCTTATGGATTGGAAGAATTAATATTGTTAAGATGTCCATACTACCAAAAGCAATCTACATATTCAATGCAATCCCTATCAAAATTCCAATGACATTTTTCACAGAAGTAGAATAAACAATCCTAAAATTTGTATGGAACCACAAAATATCCTGATTAGCCAAAGTAATCTTGAGAAAGAAGAACAAAGCTGGAGGCATCACACTTCCTGATTTCAAACTGTAATACAAAGCCATAGTAGTCAAAAGAGGATGATATTGGCATAAAAGCAGACACATAGATCAATGGAATAGAATAGAGAAGCCAGAAATAAACCCATGCATATATGGTGAATTAATTTATGACAAAGGAGCCAAGAATATAATGGGGAAAAGTACATTCTCTTCAATAAATGGTGCTGAGAAAACTGGACAGTCACATGCAAAAGAATAAAACTTGACCGTTATGTTATACTATACACAAAAATTAACTCCAAATGGATTAAAGGCTTACAAGTGAGACCTGAAACCATAAAACTCCTAGAAGAAAGCATAGATGTTAAGCTCCTTGACATCAGTCTTGGTGATAATTTTTTGGACTTGACACCAAAAGCAAAGACAACAAAAGTAAAAATAAACAGGTGGACTATATCAAACTAAAAAGCTTCTGCAAAAAAACAAAACAAAACAAACCTACAACAAAATGAAGAGACATCCTACTGAATGGAAGAAAATATTTGCAAATTATATATCTAATAAAGGGTTAATATCAAAATATAAAAAGAACTAATTTAACCCAATAAAATGACTATCCAATTAATAAATGGGCAGAGGATCTGAATAGACATATTTCCAAAGAACATATACAGATGGCCAACAGGTACAATGAAACGTGCTAAACATCACTAATCATCAGGTAAGTGTAAATCAAAACCACAATGAGTTATCACCTCACACCTGTTGTAATGGCTATCATCAGAAAGACAAGAAATGACAAGTGTTGGCAAGGATGTGGAGAAAAGGGCACTTTCATTCACTGTTGGTGGGAATGTAAATTGGTGCAGCCAGTATGAAGTTTCTTCAAAAAATTAAAAATAAAACTATTGTATAATCCCACAATTCCACTTCTGGGTATTTATCCATAGGAAATGAAAACACTAACTCAAAAAAACAGATGCACTCCCATGTTCACTGCAGTATTATTTACAATAGCTAAGACATAGAATCAACATATGTATCTACGGATGGATGAATGAATAAAGAAAGTGTGGTATTCATATACACAATGAAATATTGTTCAGACATAAAAAATGAAGGAAATCTTGCCATTTGCAACAATGTGGATGGACTTTGAGGACATTATACTAAGTGAAATAAGTCAGAGAGAGAAAGACAAATATTGTATGATCTCACTTATATACAGAATCTAAAAACAAACAGCAAAACAAACAAAAATGAACTCACTGATATAGAGAACAGATTAGTAGTTGCCAGAGGCAAGGGGTAGGATTTGGGCAAAATGGTGAAGGTGTTCAAAAGGTACAAATTTCCAGTTATACAATAAATGAGTCATGGGGTGGTAATGCACAGCATGGTGACTGTAGTTAACAATACTGTACTGTATATTTGAAAGTTGCTAAGAGAGTAGGTCTTAAAAGTTCTCATCACAAGAAAGAAAATGATAGCCATGTGTGGTGCTGGGTGTTAACTAGATTTGTGTTGACCATTTCTCAATATATACAAATATTGAATTATTATGTTGTACACCTGAAACTAATATATTGTTATATGTCAATTACATCTCAATAAAAATAAATAAACAAGCAAAGAAACAAAGAAACCAAAATAAACAAAGAGACCAAACATATGGCCCTAGTCTCAAGGCTCACTCAGTCTGGGAGGGGAGAGAGGCATGTCACACACATGACACGGAAAGAATATGTATTTGAGCATCTGTTAAGTGCCAGGCACTTTCCTATATATTATCATTTAGATAAATGATCTCTATGTTACTTCTCTGTGGAATTTAACAATATTTTTACGTTCTCTAAACTCTTTCCTGAGGCTTCTACAACATCATTCTTTTCTAGTTTCTATTATTATAGAAATCACTTGCAGACTCCTTTGAACACTCCCTTTCCTCTGCTCACTGCTGACCAATTAGGGCTGCTTCCCCAGAGTTCTCCTCAATATGCTCTTGATAGCCTATAGCCTTTCCTCAGTGAGTTAATAAGCACAACCATATTTTAGGTTCACCTGTACTT